CTACTAAAAATACAAAAAATTAGCTGGGATTACAGGCACGTGCCACCATGCCCAGCTAATTTTTTGTATTTTTAGTAGAGACGGGGTTTCACCATGTTTACCAGGATGGTCTCGATCTCTTGACCTCGTGATCCACACGCCTCGGCCTCCCAAAGTGCTGGGATTACAGGCTTGAGCCACCGCGCCCGGCCCCTAATAAATGATTTTTATGAGATCACAGAATAATGTGCAAAAGTCAATCATATTTGTAAATATAAGAAACCAAAAATTAGAAATGTAAAAATTTAATAACATTTATATCATAAAATATGAAATACATAGGGATAATCTGACAAAAGATGTACACGACCTATACACTGAAAACTAAACAACATTGCTGGTAGAAGTTAAGGAATGACTAAGTAAATTGAGAGATATTTCAGGTTCATGGATTAGAATATGTGATGCTGTTAAGGTGTCAATTTCCCCAAATTAATCTTTAAATCTAACGTATCCCTAAATATAATCCTGTGGTTTTTTGGGGGGTTTTTTGTTTGTTTGTTTTGTTTTTTGGTAAACATTGTAAAGCTGATTCCAAAATTCTTATGGAGATGTTAAGTACCTAGAAGAGTCCAAATAACTCTGAAAAAGAAGAATAAGCCCGGGCATGGTGGCTCACACCTGGAATCCCAGAACTTTGGGAAGCCAAGGTGCGTAGATCACCTGAGGTCAGGAGTTCAAGACCAGCCTGGCCAACATGGTGAAACCCCATCTCTACTAAAAATACAAAATTTATCTGGGCGTGGTGACAGGTACCTGTAATCCCAGCTACTCAGGAGGCTGAGGCAGAGGGATCGCTTGAGCCCAGGGAGCTGAGGCTGCCATGAGCTGTAATCATACCACTGTACTCTAGACTGGGTGACAGAACAAGAGCAAGACTATGTCTCTTAAAACAAAAAGCAGAGCCTGGTGACCTGGATGTGTGCCATGAACAAGGAAGAAATCTGTGACTGTGTAAGTCAGTAAGATTTGAGGGACATTTGTTATTGCAGCAAAACCCAACTGTCTTAGTTGGCTCAGGCTACCATTTTTAAAATACCACAAACTGGCTTAAACATTTATCTCTCACAGTTATGGAAGCTGGAAGTCTGCGATCACAGTGCCAGCAGGTTAGGTTCTGGGGAGGGACCTCTTGCAAGTTGCAGACTGCCAACTTCTTGCATACCCACGTGGCAGGAAGGGAGCCAGGTAACTCTCTGCTTCTTTGGGGTTTTTTTTTTTTTTATTTTTGAGACACAGTCTTGCTCTGTCACCCAGGTTGGAGTGCAATGGCACAATCTCAGCTCACTGCAACCTCCGCCTCCTGGGTTCAAGTGATTTTCCTGCCTCGGCCTCCTGAGTAGCTGTGATTACAGGCGCCGCCATCATGCCTGGCTAATTTTTGTATTTTTGTAGAGATAGGGTTTCACCATGTTGGCCGGGTTGGTCTTAAACTCCTAACCTCAGGTGATCAGCCCTCCTCGGACTCCCAAAGTGCCGGAATTACAGGCGTGAGCCACCGTCCCCAGCCTTCTTCTTATTTTTTATTTTGAGACAGAGTCTCGCTCTGTCATCCATGCTGGAACATACTGGCATGATCTCGGCTCACTTCAACCTCTTCCTCCTGGGTTCAAGCAATTTTTGTACCTCCATCACCCAAGTAGCTGGGATTATATGTGAGTGCCACCACATGTGGCTAACTTTCATGTTTTAGGGTTGGTTTCTCCATGTTGGCCAGGCTGGTCTCAAACTCCTGGCCTCAAGTGATCCACACACCTCAGCCTCCCAAAGTGTTGAGATTACAGGCATGAGCCACTGTGCCCACCTCTGGCTTCTTGCACAGGTATTGGTTTCGTGTGGATATTGTGTCCCCTCCAAATCTCATGCTGAAATGACTGCCAATATTGGAGGAGGGCCTGGTAGGAGGTGTTTGGAAGAAAATCCCTCAAGAATGGTTTGGTCCCTTCCCCACGGTAATGAATGACTTCTCGCTCTGCAAGTTCCCTCCAGAGCTAGTTGTCTAAAAGAGCCTAAGCCCGGTGGCTCACTCCTGTAATCCCAGAATTTTGGAAGGCTAAGGCAGACCTCAGGTGATCTGCCTGTCTCAGCCTCCCAAAGTGCTGGAATTACAGGCATGAGCCACCAGGCCCAGTCTAAAGATGGGGGTTTCACCATGTTAGCCAGGATGGTCTCCAACTCCTGACCTCATGATCCGCCCACCTCAGCCTCCCAAAGTGCTTCGATTACAGGCATGAGCCATCACGCCCAGCTGAATACTTTTTTTTTTTTTTTTTAAGAGACAGGATCTTGCTGTACTTAGCCCAGGCTTTAGTGCAGTGGTATTATCATAGCTCACTGCAGCCTCAAACTCCTGAGGTCAGGCAATCCTCCTGGCCTCAGTCTCCCAAGTAAGTAGAACTACAGGTGCACCACCACACCTGGCTCATCTTTGTTTAATTTTTCATATAGATAGGGTCTCACTGTGTTGTCCAGCTGGTCTCCAACTCCCAGCCTCAATTGATCCTCCCACCTCAGCCACTGATCTCATTCAGTGGCTCAGTGGGATTACAGGCACGAGCCACTGCACCCAGCCATGAATTCTTTTATATTTAAAGCAGTTTGAGTGTTTCTGACCCCTGCATAAAGAGTCCTGTCTACTATTCTCCTCTGGAGACAAAATCTCTTCCCCTCAGCCCCAATGGCACATACAAAGCATTCAACCTCGTGAGTCAAAACTGATCAAAATAACAGCCTTTATAGATGTTTCTGGAGAGATGGGGTGAGAAAAAATAGGATATAAATAACCATTATTTACAACTTGCAACAGTAAAGTTCTCCCAGACACCCCTTCGAGATTGAACTCCAAAACCTCTGGGGCAGACACTGGGAACCACCAAGCAAATACAAAAACATCCACGCTCTGACTCCAGGTGCGGATGGAGGAGACCGGTCAGGCCTAGAAACAAAATGAGCAGGAAGCATTAGAGAGGCTGCCCCTCTGCCTCCCCTGCCTCCCAGCAGAGTAGAATCAGTGGAGACGCTCTGGCAGAGTCCCCATCATGACTTCTTCAAGCCCATAGCTTTCCAGAGAGAAGATGGCAGGCAGCTCAAAACAAGAGAGACGCAAAATAAAATGAAACTAAGTTAGAACTGAAAAGCGGGCTTAAAACCTTCCAGAGACTCTACCCAATTCATTTCACAGACAGAATCGAGGCAGGGTAGGGGAAAAGCAGGCGCTGCCTCTGCCCAGCGCGCCCAGTGTGTGTAGCGGGGGAACAAGGGGCATCGATACCTCCCGAGCGTAGATGGAAGGAGCAGATATGACATAAATCCCTCGAGAGTCTCCATCTTCAGGACGATTCCAATCTATGGACGAGCTGTGGGAGGAAAGAAAAATCCAGACCCTTTAAATTCTCAGATCTTGTTTTCCCCTACCCATCACAAAGGGGAACCCAAAGCCAGCTAGGGGTAAGGGAGACCGACCAGGGAGATGCATCAGTGAATTGGGACAACTGCACCACGGAGATTGGCGCAAGCAGCGGGCAGCACGAGGCGTTCGTCTGCGGCGCAGCCCCTCACCTCGGGCCATCCCCGGGACCCTCCTGCGTCCTTAGGTTGTTGAGTGCATCCGGGAGCGCGTGGACTGACGGCTCCGGGGTCCCCGCCAGCAAGCGAGACCCAGCATCCTGGGCTTGGCCACGGCGGCGCACGTGGACCAGCAAGAGCGCGGCGCCGGCCACGCCCGCGGCCACAAGCAGTCCCAGAGCCGGAGGCAAAAGGAAGCGCTGCGGGTCCCCGGGACTCAGGCCCCGCGGAGACGCGGGCAACGCGCCTGCGCCGTCGGGGTGCACGGGGAACTCGCACCGCGCGCCCATGTAGCCAGGCGCGCAGGCGCAGACGAGGCCGGAGAAGTGAGCGTAGCAGCGGCCGCCGTGAGCGCAGGGGCGCGCCGCGCACGGGTCTGCGCGCTCGCGGCAATCGCGGCCGCCGAAGCCCAGCGCGCAGGAGCAGCGGTGCGCGCCGCCGCCTTCCACGCACGTGCCGCCGTTAGCGCAGGCGCGGCCCGCGCAGTCGTCGAGGTCGTGCTCGCAGCGCGGACCCGCGAAGCCCGCGCGGCAGCGGCAGCGCAGGGCGTGGCCCAGGTCCAGGCAGAGTCCGCCTGCGGGGAAGGGGACATCAGAGGGCGCAGTCCGGGGGCCGGCGGCCAGCCTGCCCGCCCTGTTTCCAGCTCTATCATCGCCGCACGGGGGTCCCCTTTTTCTCTCTCTCTTAAATCCAGGGCCAGCGCCTTGGAGTGTGCCCAGAAAGCCAGCTCTCTTCCTTTCTACCTGATGAAGTTTTGGAATAATTAATTTAGCGCCACCTCTTTGGCTCTCTGTGCCCTTGTTTCTTTCTCTCTCGGCTTCGATCATACTTCAATAGTAAACAGCTCCCAGAACTATGTGTTTGAACCCCCTGGCTTTCTTCTGCCTAGAATGCCCCCTCTCTTCCCTTCCTCTTTTTCTCCCATTTTTCCCCACCTTTTCTCTTCGCTAGCCCACCCCTCAGGTCTCCACTCCGATGCTCCTTCCTCCATCCCTGCCCTGATCGCTGCCCTGTGCTCCCAGATCACAGCCCTTGACCACCCACCCTGTCTGAGGGTGTCTGTCTTCCCCTCTGGGATGCTACCCCCAGGAGGGTGTGGCCCAGAGATGTCCTGGTCCCTGCTGTGGCCCTAGTACCACACACCCCAGAGTGAACACTCAGTGTTTGGGAGAATTATTGCATTCACTCCCAAGAAGAGACACAGGCAGCCCTTTACATCCATATTTTATTTAATCTTTTTTTTTTTTAATTCAGTCTTTCTCACCCTGTCGCCCAGGCTGGAGTGCAGTGGTGCGATCGCGGCTCACTGCAACCTATGCCTCCCTGGTTCAAGCGATTCTCCTGCCTCAGCCTCCCGAGTAGCTGGGACTACAGGCTTGCGCCACCGCACCTGGCCTCATTTAATCTTTTAGCACCGATCCCAGGTCTCCTCCCAGCTCAGAATCTTCCTGTGGCTCCATCTCACTCAGGGGAAAAGTGAAGTCCCCCTTATTGTGACCCAGGGGGTCCCACGAGATTCACCTCAGTCTTATCTCAGTCCCTACCTCATCTCGTCAGTGTGACCACACTGGTTCCCCTGCTCGGCCCCAGCACAGCAGGCAGCTTCCTACCACCTCAGCTCTACCAGGGCAGGATTTTGTCTGTTTCATTCCCTACTGCATCCTCCGTGCCTAGAATCAGGCCTGGCACACAGTGAATTCTCAGTAAATAGTTGTGAGATAGGGAATGTCTCCTTGCCCATTTTATAGAGCAAACAGGGTTGGGGGTGGAAGGTCAGGTCCCCAGGCCCTAGGGTTAGAAGAAGCAAAGCCAGGATCCCAGCCCAGGACTGTGAGCCATGCAGGGCCCCCACCCCATCCCTGGCCGTTCTGGCCTCCAGGCCTCACCATTGCGGCATGGCTGCAGGCTGCACCGGTCCACCCTCTTCTCACAGTTGGAGCCTTGGAAACCAGGTGGGCAGTGGCAGACGTAAGCAGAGTCAGGGTCTGCGCCCCCAACACACAAGCCGCCGTTGAAGCAGGGTCCATCCGCGCATGTCACCCCGCTCACCTGACACAGCCGCCCGTAGAATCCACGCGGGCAGGTGCATTCAAAGGACCCGGGTGTCTCCTGGGCAGGGACAAGAGGACTTCGGAAGGGAGTTTCCTTGGAGAAAAATCCCATCCCCCTCCTCAGTCCTAACCATTGGGGGTTCCTCCTTGTCCAGTCCCAAGTCCCACTGTGCAGGGGCCACTCTGGGAGGTCCTCCCAACATCCCCTCAATCCACTCCACGTTTTTGTGTCTGCCCATGGGACCCCACAGGGAGGAGGCTCTGGGAGCCCAGAATGACCCCATTCCCACCCCACCTTTGCCTACCAAAGCCTGCCTGCCTGGTCATCCCTCCCTGCTTCTGTCCACACTGACAAGTCCTATTAGGAGGTCCTAGATCTCAGCCCACCTCCTCCAGGAAGCCTTCTCTAGATCTCTCCTTCCCAGGCCGTCCCCCTAAGTATTTGAACCCTGAGTGTGTCCATGTCCAGGTGGCCCACACTGGGCCCTACTGTATCCCAGCACTCCACGCCAGGCTCATTCACTGCCACCTCTGCACCCTTGCTCCCTGCAGGCCCCTCACCTGGACACCCTTCTCTAATCACCTCCCAGAAGCCCCCGTCCTGGGCCATCTCCAGGAAGCCTTCTCCGATGTTTTCACCCCCTGTCCCCCAGATCCCAAATCTCCAACCTATTTGTCCCTACCACCCACTACCTTAGGCCCTGAATCATTCTCAGTCCCACAGTGGGGGCAGCTGCGGCCCCCCACGGCTCCTCATCATTTCCACTCCCACACCTTTAGGGGCCACCCACTGAGGCTGCTCTCCCCAGTCCCATCCCCATCACCTAATCCTACTTCAAGGCCCCAGGTGCAGCCCTCCCTGATAGTTATTCCCAGACCTACTCCCCAGGCTAGTGTCTCATGGAGCCCCAGGGAGGGGGCTGTGGCTTCCCGGGTAAGGTACCAAGCAGGACAAGGTGGGAATTGGTGATACTGACACTACAGCTGCCCCCGTTGGCACACGGGTTCCCATCACAGGGCCCAGGCCCAGGGACAAGGCATCTGGTGGTGGCAGAGGACGGGCCCCTGGGGCTGAGGCAGCTGCTGGTGGACACAGGGACCGTGCAGAGGGGTCCAGTCCAGCCCTCCAGGCATCGGCATTCACCAGGCTGCTCACAGAAGCCGTGCTCTGGGCTGCAGCCTGCTTGGCACTCTGCTATGGGGGACAGAGAGGCAGAGAGAAAGGGATCACCGATGTCGGGGAGGCCAAGGGCAAGATGGAGAAAGCAGGGAGGTTTCTAAGCACGGTCCCTGCCCCACCTTGCTTCATCCTTGTGACAGATAATCATCGGGACTAGATGGTATTGTGACCCTCCCCTCAGTTTACAGACAGGGAAACTGAGGCCCACAGAGGCGAGGTGACCAGGCCACTGGGCTGGAGACTGTACTCTTTGAAGGAGGATGGGTCGGGGGCACGCTGGTCAGAACGTGCGGACAGGAGAAAGGGAGGGAATTTGGGATTGGTGGGGGGAACACCTGGCCTTTCAGGGAAGATGGGAGTGCCTTGAATTAGGGTGGCTCTGGGAATATCTGGATTAGCCTGGGAGTCCTAGGGGTCTTGATAGGGCTCTGAAATTAGGGGAGGGATCTGAAGAATCCCAAGCTTTCAGAAGGCATGGGTTCTGGCCAGCAACCTCAGGGACAGAGGACGGAGGATTCCTTGGCGGGAGTGGACTGGGGAGAGTTTCCAAAGCTTCCGGGTGGGAGTCAGGAGGGCCGCAGAATTAGAAGAGCTTTGGGGGTCCTAGCATCGGGACACGGTGTGAGTGTGGGTTAGGAAAAGAACCGGAGGGTGCCAGCATGGGAAATGGGTGTGGGCTTCCTATTTGAGATAACAAGAGGGCTGGGAGAGGGAAGGGGGCTGGAGTAGCAAGGCAGAGCTGAAGAGAAGTCTAGGGTCCTCAGTTTCCCCGAAGGTGGCAGCTGGATGGTTAGCGGGGTTTAGGGTACATCCGCAGCAGTCAGCGCGTTCCCTAGCTCCCTGGAGAGGGGTGCCTGTGGTACGTGGTGGGGGCTCTAGAGCACCCTGAAAAGGGTGACTGGGTTGTGAGAAGGGACTGAGGGCCGCGAGTGACGCTCAGGAGGGGCCGGGGTCCCGGGGTCCCGGGCTGGGAGGGGGTGGGATCGAACGCAGGACTCACCTGTCGCCTCACACTCCTCCTCCAGCTGCGCGCAACGGCGCAGTCCCGGGCCGCACCGCGAGGGGGCGCTGCGTGGGCGGCAGAGGCGCGTGCACGCGGCCCCGACGGCTGGCGGTTCGCAGCGCGCGCGGTACGAGAAGCGCAGCTCCCAGGCGCCTGCGCGCTGAACGTCCCGGGCCCACGGGCCCCCAGCTGCCAGGCGCCGCCGGCCGGCCATGCGCGCAAGCAGGCTCCAGGCGGGCCCTGCGGGAACAAGCAAAGCAGGGGCGATGGGGTGGGCCCGGCCGGACGCGGGTGCACACTGAGCGCCCCGGCCGCACTCTCCCTGCCCCTCCCAGCGAAGCCAAAACACCCCCATGGAGCCCTGGGGTCCTTGGACCTCGCGAGGAGAATGGCAGTCACCCTCCTTATGTAGCGAGGCTGCGAACTCCCCAGTGCACCCTGGGGCCTGCAATGTCGGGGTCCCCTCTATACCCTAAGTAACAGTTCTCTCGGCCAGGCGCGGTGGCTCAAACCTGTAATCCCAGCAGTTTGGGAGGCCGAGACAGGTGGATTAACTGAGGTCAGGAATTCAAGACCAGCCTGACCAACATGGTGAAACTGTTTCTACTAAAAATAAAAAATAAATTAGCCAGGCATGGTGGCACGTCTGTTAATCCCAGCTACTCAGGAGGCTGAGGCAGGAGAATCACATTCATCTAAGAGGCGGAGGTTGCAGCGAGCTGAGATGGCACCATCGCACTCCAGCCTGGGTGACAGAGCAAGACTCCATTTCAAAAAAAAAAAAAAAAGCAGTTCTCTTATAGAGAGCGAGAACTGGCCAACATAGTGAAACCCGTCTCTACTAAAAACACAAACAAAAGTAGCTGGGCATGGTGGTGGGCACCTGTAATCCCAGCTACTCGGGAGGCTGAGGTAGGAGAATTGCTTGAATCTGGGAGGCAGAGGTTTCAGTGAGCCAAGATCATGCCACAGTACTCTAGCCTGGGTGACAGAGTGAGACTCCATCTCAGGGAAAAAAAAAAAAAAAAAAAAAAAAGCTTCCCATAGAAGAACCAGAAGTAACTCATATTGCACCCTGAGCTCTCGACATCAGATGGTGATGAAGTAGGGCTGTGAGATGCTATGCCCTGCTCTGGTGGCTTCGGTAGTAAGAGCGTTTCCCCCACTTCATCTGGTACCAGGACCACAGACTGCTACATCCAGTACCAGGACATGTCTGTGCTTGAGATGCCAAGAGCCCTGGAGCAGCCAACACCCGGCACCACACCCCAGGAGCTGTGATGACATCATAAGACCTACAGACAACACCATCAACCTCGAGTCTCACGTGGGCCCCAGCTCCCCACCAGTCCCAAGGCAGAAGACACTCACCTCCAATCTGATCTCCTAACTCCTGTCTCCAGGTTTCAATGATGAGAGAGAAGGTGCCCTGGTTGGGTGAAGGAAAGGGGAATGAAAGACAGGGGTTAGGGTAAGTATTCAATGAAGGCCAGAGTTCAGGAGGGAAGGGTGATGGCCAGTACTAGGAACCGGAGCAAGCAAGGGACAATCCCCAGATGGGCCAGCCCAGCCCAAGGAGGGAATGACTTCTGCGGCTTTTTTTTGTTTTGTTTTTGTTTTTGAGACACAGTCTTGCTCTGTTGCCCAGGCTGGAGTACAGTGGCACCATCTCAGCTCACTGCAACCTCTGCCTCCCAGGTTCAAGTGATTCTCCTGTCTCAGCCTCTTGAGTAGCTGGGACTATAGGCGCGCACCACCATGCCTGGCTAATTTTTATATTTTTAATAGAGATGGGGTTTCACAATGTTGGCCAGGCTGGTCTCGAACTCCTGACCTCATGATTCGCCTCAGCCTCCCAAAGTGTTGGGATTACAGGCATGAACTACTGCACCTGGCCCCTTTTTTTTTTTTTTTTGAGACAGGGTCTTACTCTGTCAACCAGGCTGGAGTGCAGTGGAGCGATCTTGGCTCACTGCAACAACCTCTGGGGCTCAAGCAGTCCTCCCACCTCAGCCTCCCGAGTAGCTGGGACTACACGCACATGTCACCCTGCTCCACTAATTTTATTTTATTTATTTATTTATTTATTTAGTAGAGACAAGGTCTCATAGGCCAGGACTTTGGGAGGCTGAGGCAGGTGGATCACCTGAGGTTGGGAGTTCAAGACCAGCCTGACCAACATGGAGAAAACCCTTTCTCTACTAAAAATACAAAATTAGCTGGGCATGGTGGCCCATGCCTGTAATCTGAGCTACTCGGGAGGCTGAGGCAGGAGAATCGTTTGAACCTGGGAGCAGAGGTTGCGATGAGCCAAGATCCTGCCATTGCACTCCAGCCTGGGCAACAAGAGGGAAACTCCGTCTCAAAAAAAAAAAGAGAGAGAGACAAGGTCTCACAATATTACTGAGACTAGTCTCAAACTGCTGGGCTAAAGCTATCCTCCTGCCTAGGTCTCCCAAAGTGCTGGAATTACAGGGTCAGCCCCTGAACATGGCTTGCTTTATTGAGCACATACTACATGGTAAGCACTTTATTAAAGAGACGTGGTTGAATCGCTCAAAAGAGACCCTTGTGAGGTACCAGGATGATCCCATTTTATAGCTTGGCAAACTGAGGCTGGAAACCAGGCAGTTACTTGTCCAAAAAGACAAGGATCTAGAATTCTAATACAGGTCTGTTCATCTTTGTGCCTTTGGGGCCAGGCACAGTGGCTCATGCCTGTAATCCCAGCACTTTGGGAGGCTGAGGTGGGCGGATCATCTGAGGTCGGGAGTTTGAGAGCAGCCTGACCAACATGGAGAAACCCTGTCTCTACTAAAAATACCAAAAAATTAGCGAGGCATGGTGGTGCACACCTGTAATCCCAGCTACTCAGGAGGCTGAGGCAGGAGAATCGCTTGAACCCAGGAGGCAGAGGTTGCAGTGAGCCAAGATCACACCATTGCACTCCAGCCTGGGCAACAAGAGCAAAACTGTCTCAAAACAAAAAAATCTTTGTGCCTTAGGGTTGTGGGGTTGGGAGACAGGATTTTGGAGGTGAAAGAGTAATTAATACAGGACCCAACTGAAAGAACTGAGAACAGGAAAAAAAAGAAGATATTAGTGGTCCCCAAGACAAGGTGAGAGGTTTGGGGATAAAGATGAGGACCCCAGTTTTTAGGGATCCCCAAGGAGCAGAGATAGAGTTCCTTGAGTTTAGGATTTCAGAGGCTGGGTTTGAGATTCTGGGAATTTGGGGTCCCAGCATGCAGGGCTGGGGAATCAGAACATTTAGAATCCCCAGTGTGCAGGGTTTAGGGGTCTGGGAATGTGGGGATCGTAGAGTTACTGGTCTGGGAATTTGGTCCACCCCCTGGGAGGCAGGGAGGCAGGATTAGGGTCTTGAAAGCTGGAGGGGACAGGAGGTGGGGGTTTCGGTGGCAGGATTAGGCCTCCAGCAGCGGGAGTACCCCAGGGGCAGCACTCACCGGCCAGGCGTCCCGGAAGGGCACCCGCAAGAGGCCGTCGGGCAGTGGCAGATCAGGCGCGGGTGCTCCGGCCTGCTCGGCGTAGGCTGGTCCGCGCGCACTCAGCGCCGTGCCCGGGGCGCACGGGGACTCGGTGGCCTCCTCCGAGAGCCCAGGCTTCAGGCAGACTCTGAAGAAGAGGCGGCAGGGACCCCGGGCGCTGCAGGGGGACCGCGGGGCCCCCGGGCCTGGACCTGGCCCGAAAGAATGGATCTGCAGCTCCAAGACGCCAGCGGGCCGTGCCTGGTATGGAGGCGGGCGCAGGGTGAGGCAGCCGGGGGACCCAGACGTCCCCTCTGCCCCGCGCCCCCTCCTCAGGACTTTCAGGTCGCACCCCCACCCCACTCCCGCATTCATCCCTTTCCACGCCACCTCCCGCCTGGCTCTGACCTGGGGGAGAAAAAAGAGCGCTAGGATCACGGTCTGGGACAGTAGTCCGGACATCCGTGGGAAGACCATGGCCTTCTTGGGGGGTCTCGGGAGTCGCAGCTGCTGGCTTCCAAGCCTTATATCTGAGGGAATGGCCCCGCCCCTCAGGCAGCTACCCGGCCCCAGGGGACCAAGGGAGGGTGGTTGGTCACCAGGGAAGGGGAGCGTGCAGGAGCAACAGAGAGATTTCGTCTGTGGTCGTGGGCACGGGCCAGGTCGTGAGTGGGTGATCCCGCAACTTTGTGTTTGGCTGGCGTGGGGCGGGGTTTCGGGGCTAAGCCTGTGTGTGCGGTTGCACATGATTTTAAGATTTGGTGTGTGGTATGGACCAGCGCTGCTGGAGGGTGCACACGACTTTGTGACTGCGTGTCCACGTGGGACTGCGCGGCTCAGCATATGCCTGGAGTTGTCTGTGACTGACACAATTATGAGGTTGTAAACAATTCTGCTTCTGCACGCACCCCCGCATGGGAAACTAGATGTGTACACCACTTCGTGACTGTGTGGCCCTTCGAGATTCTGTGGCTGTGTGGATGCTTCTCCGTGCGTGTTTACGGGAGATCCTATGTAGGCGTACAGAACCTGTGACTTTGTGCTCTGTGCGGGGGCTGTGCAAGGCGGGGAATGGCTGAGGACGCCTGTGTGTGAATGAGACTGGGTTTGGGAGGTCCAGGGATGTAGCCACGTGTGGATACGATGAAGATACAGAGTTCCTTGTGAACCCCTGTGTGCGTTCGTTTGTGTGAATGAGATTGGATTTGAGAGGTCCACCGGTGTAGCTGTGAGTGGATATGATGAAAATCTGAGGCTCTTTGTGGACCCCTGTGTGCTGGCGTGTGTGTGATCCCCTTCCCCAAAACAAAGCCACCCTCCCAAATCCCCCATCGCGGACGCACCAGACGCCAGGGCGAGAAGCCCGGCCTCAGAGGGGGCTCCCAGCTGTATGTAAATGCCGCCATCTGCCGGGCGGCCGCGCCCCTCCCCCTTCGGGCCGCAGCTGGGCTGCCCGTTTGGCCTCCGGAAGGTGTGAGGAGCAAATGGGCAGGAAATTCCGTCTTCACATACAGGAACCCGCTCCCCCACCCCAGAAGAATGGGGGTAGGGGACACCAAGGCCCTTCAGAAATCCTTTAGTATTCCAGGACCTCAGCAGGAAAAGCTAATTAGGAGCAGATGTCCCAGCCCCTCTGGTCATAATTGCTCCCTGCCAGGAATGGGGCAAAGCCTTTGAGCTGGGCTAACTTTTTTTTCCCCCAAAGTAAAAGAATTTAGTGTTGAGAGGCTAGTACAGGGAAAAATACAGTTTCAATTTATGTTTTTGTTCCAGAGAAGTATTGCATAGCCCAGCAGAACCAGGCATACAGTAGGTGCTCAGTTTTTGTTTTGTTTTGGGTTTTTTGGTTTTTTTTTGTTTTTTAGAAGTTTTGCTCTTGTTGACAAGGCTGGAGGGCAATGGCAGGATCTTGGCTCACTGCAACCTCCACCTCCTGGATTCAAGCGATTCTCCTGTCTCAGCCTCCCAACTGGCTAGGATTACAGGCACCTGCCACCACACCCTGCTAATTATATATATATATATATATATATATATATATATATATATATATATTTTTTTTTTGAGACAGAGTTTCGCTCTTGTTACCCAGGCTGGAGTGCAGTGGCGCGATCTCGGCTCACCGCAACCTCCGCCTCCTGGGTTCAGGCAATTCTCTGCCTCAGCCTCCTGAGTAGCTGGGATTACAGGCACGTGCCACCATGCCCAGCTAATTTTTTGTATTTTTAGTAGAGACGGGGTTTCACCATGTTGACCAGGATGGTCTCGATCTCTTGACCTCGTGATCCACCCACCTCGGCCTCCCAAAGTGCTGGGATTACAGGCGTGAGCCACCGTGCCCGGCCCAATTTTTTATATTTTTAAATACACACAGGGTTTCACCATGTTGACCAGGCTGGTCTCGAACTCCTGACCTTCAAGAGTTCAAGACCACCCACCTCAGCCTCCCAAAGTGCTGGGATTACAGGTGTGAGCCACCACACGCAGCCCAGTTAATTTTTTAATGAATGAAAGACCAGGCTGGGCACTGACGCCTATAATCTCAGCACTTTCGGAGGCTGAGGTAGGGGACTGCTTGAGGCCAGGAGTTTGAGACTACCCTGGGCAACAACACAGCAAGACACCCTTCTCTACCCAAAAAAAAAAAAAAAAACCAGCCTAAAGATTCTTCTCTTAATTCTGACAACACTGGTGTTTGAGCAAGGCAGGGCCATGGGTCAGACTGGGCAGAACATCCTAGGCTCCTTTCCACGGTTTTTGTCTTTTCCTTTTTTTTTTTTTTTTTTAGCTTTTTGACAAGAGTTTCACTCTTTCGCCCAGGCTGGAGTGCAGTGGTGCCATCTCTTCTCACTGCAACTGCGCCTTCCAGTTTCAAGCAATTCTCCTGCCTCAGCCTCCCACGTACTGGGATTACAGGTGCCCACCACCATGCCTGGCTAATTTTTGTTTTTAGTAGAGATGGAGTTTCATTCATGTTACCCAGGCTGGAGTGCAATGGCGCGATGTCGGCTCACTGCAACCTCCGCCTCCTGGGTTCAGGCAATTCTCCTGCCTCAACCTCCCGAGTAGCTGGGATTACAGGCACGTGCCACCATGCCCAGCTAATTTTTTGTATTTTTAGTAGAGACGGGGTTTCACCATGTTGACCAGGATGGCCTCGATCTCTTGACCTCATGATCCACCCGCCTCGGCCTCCCAAAGTGCTGGGATTACAGGCTTGAGCCACCGCGCCCGGCCTGCCCCCTGTGATTCTTTTATTCCACCTGACTTCTCTGCCTGTGCCTCCCTCAGCCATGACCACTCTGGCCTTTGAGGTCTTTAATTTTTTGAGATAGGGTCCCAGTCTGTTGCCCCAACTGGGGTGCAGTAGCACTATCCTAGCTCACTGCAACCTTGACTTCCTGGGCTTAAATGATCCTCCCATCTCACCCTCCCAAGTAGTTAGGATTACAGGCATGAGCCACCATGCCTGGCTAATTTATTGTTTTTGGTAGAGATGGGGTGTCCCTATGTTGCCCAGGCCGAACTCCTGGGCAAAACCAATCCTCCCACCTTGGCTTCTCAAAGTGCTGAGATTATAGGCATGAGCCACCATGCCTGGCCCGATGGGGTTTATCTAAGCACGAATCAGACCGTGTCCTTCACCTGCATTAGACTCTTCTATAGCTCCCCAGTGCCTTCTAAATATGTAAGTTTCTAAGGCTGACATTTGAGACCCACCTTCCCCATTCCCCCTCCTCAGACAGGTTATGTGGCCCCAAGGAGTAAAGCCAGACCTTGTAAACCAAAGTAACCTGGAGGCAAATTAGGTCTCATGTTGGGTTTGGTGAGAGAATAAGCTTCCCATCATAGAAGATATGTTAGCAGAATTTGGACAGCCAGCTGTGAGAGGAAGCAAATACCTGCCCTGGATGATCATGGGGGGAACACATTCCAGGTCTCAGATATCTCATTTTCTTTTTTTTCTTTTTTGAGATGGAGTCTTGCTCTGTCGCTCAGGCTGCAGTGCAGTGGCTTGATCTCGGCTCACTGCAACCTCCGCCTCCGGGGCAGAGGTCAGGAGTTCGAGGCCAACCTGGCCAACATGGTGAAACCCCGTATCTACTAAAAATACAAAAATTAGCCAGGTGTGGTGGCACATGCCTGTAGTCCTAGCTTTGGGAGGCTGAGGCAGAAGAATCACTCAAACTCGGAAGGCAGAGGTTGCAGTGAGCCAAGATTGCACACACTGTACTCAAGCCTGGGTGACAGAGTGAGCCCCCCCTCAAAAAAAAAAAAAAAAAAAAAAAAGGTACAGACCCCTTCCACCATTCCTGCAGACTTCCTCAAGCTGGGGAGGGCTGAGGATTTCAGGAAACATTCCACTGGCTTGCAGACAGTGCACCCCAGGGCAAGGGGTCATGGTATAAATTTCAATTCTTTGTAGAGGCCTGAGAGGCTTCAAAAAAAAAAAAACGTGGAGTGCAGAGGTTCAGTCTGAATGCCCTTTAATTATCATCACACACCCCAGGCAAGGTCGGGTTGTCTTAGAATATTTCACCAGTATTAGCGCTAGGTGCAGGTTAGAGTAGGAGAAGCTGGGACAGTGGGGGGCAATGGGGGCAGGGCAAGGGACATAAAGTCAAAGTGGTTAAGATACTTTTTTTTTGAGACTGAGGTCGGTCCTTGTTGTCTGGGCTGGAGTGCAATGGTGCGGTCTCAGCTCAGCTCAGCTTGAACCTCCCGGGTTCAAGCAATTCTCCTGCCTCAGCCTACTGAGTAGCTGGGATTACAGGCATGAGCCACCATGCCTGGCTAATTTTTTCATATTTTTTTTTTTAGTAGAGATGGGGTTTGGCCAGGCTGGTCTCCAACTCCCGACCTCAGGTGATCCACCCGCCTGGGCCTCCCAAAGTGCTGGGACTATAGGTGTGAGCCACCACACCCAGTCAAGATATTTCAATCTGTGAGTAACCCATATGGCCTGGTAACAGCAAGTCCCTGGGAACATATATATAAAACCCGCGTACAGACTGCCCCGTTCACTCCTCACAACCACTCTGCTAAAATACTACCATCACCCCATTTTAGAGATGAGGAAACTGAGGCAGAGGTGCCTTGCCTAAGATTCACACAGCTACCATTTGAGTGCCTACATGGGAGTGCCTCATTTGGTTCCCAAAGCTAGCCTATGAAACAGGAACCTTTTTTTCTTCCCCCCCAAAAGAGAGTCTTCCCACGTTGTCCAGGCTGCTCTCCAACTCCTGGCCTCAAGCGATTCTCCCACCTTGGCATCCCGAAATGTTGGGATGACAGGCATGAGCCACTGCACCTGCCCTGTTGTATTTTATAAACGTAGAAACTGAGGCACTGGGAGGTGAAGTAACTTGCACAGCATCACAGCCAGCCCGGAAGTGGGCGAGCTTGGATTTGAACTTACACAATCTGGAACTCACACTCTTAGGTAATACGCAGTGACGCTGTCCAATACAGGAGACATATATGACTATTTAAATTAATCAAAAGTAGCTGGGCCCAGTGGCTCACTCCTGTAATTCCAGGATTTGGGGAGGCCAAGGCAGGAAGATTGCTTGAGCCCAGGAGTTCCACACTGCAGTGATCTAGTTACACAACTGTGCTCCAGCCTGGGCGACAGAGCGAGACCCTGACTCAAAAATAAATAAATAAATAAATAAATATTTGGAGATAGGGTCTCGCTCTGGCACCCAGGCTGGAATGTAGTGGCATGATCACGGCTCACCACAGCCATGACCTCCTGGGCTCAAGGGATTCCTCCCACCTCAGCCTCTCAAGTAGCTGGGACTACACAGGTGCACACCACCTCACTGGGCGAATTATTTTGTATTGTTTTTAGAGACAGGGTTTCACCACGTTGCCCAGGTTGATCTCGTACTCCTGGGTTCCAGCAATATTCCTGCTTCAGCCTCCCAAAATGTTGGGATTACAAGCATACATCACTGCGCCCAGCCTAAAACAAAATTAAAAATTCAGTTCCTCAGTCACACTAGCCACATTTCAAGTGCTCACAATCACAGAAAGTTCCAGTGAACACTGCTACATATCTGCCTGTTTTCGTTAGGAGCCAACATTTTAAAATACGGAGATTTAATATAAAAACCCCAGTTCTGGATGGGCACAGTGGCTCACACCTGTAATCCTAATGCTCTGGGAGGCCAAAGCAGGAAGACTGCTTGAGACCAGGAGTCTGAGACCAGCCTGGGCACCAAGATCCCACCTGTACAAAAAAACCTGTTTAAATCACACCCGTGGTCCCCGAAGGTATTCAGGAGGCTGAGGCAGGAGGATCACTTGAACGCAGGAAGTCAAGGCTTTAGTGAGCTATGATCACATCACTGCACTCCAGCCTGGGCAATAGTGAGACTCTAGTCTCAAAAAAAATAAGGGTCCGGCACAGTGGCTCACGCCTGTGATCCCAGCACTTTGGGAGGCCGAGGCGGACAGATCACAAGGTCAAGAGATCAAGACCATCCTGGCCAACATGGTGAAACCCTGTCTCTACTAAAAATATTTTTAAAATTAGCTGAGCATAGTGGCGCACGCCTGTAGTCCCAGCTACTCCAGAGGCTGAGGAAGGGGAATCACTTGAACCCGGGAGTTGGAGGTTGCAGTGAGCCAAGATCATGCCACTACATTCCAGCCTGGTGACAGAGTGAGACTTCATCTCCAAAAAAAAAAAAAATCCCAATTTCTTGCTTCTTTTGAACAATTGATACATCAAGCAACTCCAGGCCCCCTTTTTCCCAGGGCCAAACTGGCTGCAGCCAAGCAGTAGTTGCCCTGTTGAGAGGGTGATCTCTGTTCCGCCAGAGCCCCTTGGCCTGTAACTCAACATTATCTCCACAGCAGCCTGGCAGTTACCTGTCTTAAAAACCAAGAGCCATCCTCTCTTCCCTTCTCCACACATGGGGAATCTGTGGTCAGAGAGGGAGATGTATTTTTTACAGATCACACAGCACACAGGAAGACACAGCTGAGGGTTTTCAGATTCTCAGACCAGGGTTAACAATCAGCTCTGATCCAACAAAGCACCCCTCTGTGCTTGACAGCCGATCAGCCACGGTGGGACGGTGACCCGAGTCCCGGACCACACCCCGATGCCCCCATCTGGAGACTTTCCAGACACAGCAGGTGTGGCGTCTGGGATGTACTTTATTGGACAAGTGGTGGCCCAAGTCTTGGTCTGGAAGCTCTGGGGCCCTGGACCTAGGCACTGAGTTTGAGGAGGCCCAGAGGTCAGGGCTGTTTGGAGCGAGGCCACAAGCGGCTGGTGAGGGAGCTGAAGAAGAGGTTCTGCTTGTTGGACTTGGAGAGCTCGGCCAGGCGCTGCTGCTCCTCCTGGAGAGATGGAGGAGAGGGTGAGCCCAGGGTGGACAGAGCCTCCTCCCAGACACCCAGGTCCCCAGGTCTCAGCACAAGGGCCACCTTCCCTTTCGACTTCTGCCAAGACCAGACCTCTTTCCCCAAACCCTGGGGCCCCCAGCCCCCAGTGCAGACACTGGGAAGAGTCAGCCCTGAGCCACAGCTGCAGCGCAGCCTTCAACGTTTGGAGGATGCCAGACTCAAAAACCAGGCCCTTGAGGTATTCAGGCCTGAACTTCAGTAGCTTCCCAGGCCCCAGACTCTCATAATCCCCTTCCCCAGATCCCAGGGTCCCCTCCCTGAACCTGAGATCCTGACCCAGACCCTGTTACCCAAGGTGAATGCTGTTGAGATCCCAGGTCCAAACCACATGGCCCTCCTCACCAGACTGCATCGTCCTGCCCCTGGGCCCCCTAAGCCCCATGACCCCTGTCTGGATTGGGGGGGGTCCCCAGGCCCAAATCTCTAGGGACTTCTCTGGGCACTCAGGGGCTCCAAACTCTAGGAACCTAATCTAGAATCTGGTGAACCTCAGCCTAGAGCCCTGGAAATATTACCCAGATGCAATCCATACTCTTAGTCCAACTTCCAAATTACCAGGGTCCCACCAAGACCATCAGAACTCTCCCCATAGCCTTGGGCCACGTGCCCAGGATCCTCTTTCCAGAACTGATCAAAACCCAGAGTCCACCTCCACAAGGTGCCCCCAGACCTACTCAAGACAATCAAGGGCAAGCCCTCTCTCAGACCAATCTCAAATGCTCTCCTGTCTCCTGTTCTCAGAGCAGCCAGCAGGGTCAATGCATCCCCTCATTCCAGCAGCCCTACAGGACAGGCTGTGTTATACTCCCTGGTTACAGAGACGGAGGCAGAGAGGAGGTATCTACGCATGGTCACACAGCCAAGCCAGGAGTGTGGAGACGGGCTGCGCCAGGCTCCTCCTTCAGGAGCCTCAGAGTCAATCCTCCACTCTGGGCATCTGAGCACCAACCTGCTCTAGCCGGCTTTGCCGCTGTTTGAAAGCCGCCAGCGGGTCGTCCTCCAGGGCGTAGTGCTCCAGCACAGTCCGCACGTCCTCCACACCGTTCAGTGCAATGGCTGTGGGCACAACAGGAGGTGGTCAGCCAGACTTCTGAAGGTCGGAGGGAGGCAGGGCCCACGAGGCGAAGGTCCCACACTGGGGCAGGGAGGAGGTCAGTGCTACCTGGAATGCTTGTATACGCCCTGAAAGGGCTCCCCTGAACATTCCCAAGTATCCCCTAAACATTCCATGAACATCCTAAGAAGCTCCTAAAGACTCCAAGGTGCTCAGGCACCTCAGTCGCCCAAGCCAAGAATCAGGCATTTATCCTTCCTCTTCAGAGTCAGGGGGTCTGGGGTCAGCCTTACTCTTGAGAAAGGCTGACAGGTCCAACAAGACCCGGTCATCAGAGTTGCCATCCCAGGGCCTCAGGGCGACGCCGTTATAGGGCTGCAGGCGGAAGGCTTCCTTCTTACAGTCCACAACGACTACTCGAGCTGGGTCCCGATTGAGACACGAAATGTCCTGGAAGTGAGTGACGGGTCAGGTCAGCATCTGTGCCCCACGTCGACATGACACAAACACACACACACACACACACACACACACACACACACACACAGCATCACACACACACACAGCATCACACATACACACACACACACACAGCAACACACACACACACACACACACACACACACACACACACACACACACA